TGACAGACAGACAGACAGACAGACAGACAGACAGACAGACAGACAGACAGACAGACAGACAGACAGACAGACAGACAGACAGACAAAAGGAAAAAGTAGGACCTGCTATCAATGGCAAATGGCAACCCCCAACCACTCACCCACCGGGGCAGGAAGTAAAACTCGAAAGGTCTTGGCTCAAAAAAAGTTTTCAATGTCTGGTTTGTTTGAGCGAGTAAATATTCAAGAATCATATTGACAAAATAATGGTCGTTTAGAAAAAAATTTTAAAAAGCAAGTCAGATAGACAGATATAACAGAGGAAGAGTAAAGTTAAGACTTCCTGAGCGACATCACTGGCACCCCATTATGACGCCTAAAATGACACCGGGAGTTGCACATGAGATAAAGCAGTTCAAAATTTGGGGTGGGGGGGGATATACTTAGCTTTCACCCGAAAAGAAGTAGGATATATGAGACGTACGCTCGAACCGCTCACAAACTTTACCAAAGTGAGGATATAAACATAAAACAAATATAAAAACAGCAAATTGATGCACACACAGCTCATGACAGCATACACAGCACACACAAAACGTCACAAACTAGACATGACATCACAGCACACGCAGCTCACAAAAGCACAGGACAGCACAAGAGAAAACATACAGAACAGGACAACAAACACACGACATCACAGCGCACAAACGACATGACAGACTTTTTTCTGCACAAGAAAACACACACAGGCCAAGACAACACAAATAACACATGACAAAACACACAGAACTTGACAACACACACAGACAGCACATGACAACACACACACATTACATAACAACACACACTGCACATGAAAACACACACACAGCACATAACAACACACTCAGTACATGAAAAAAACACACACAGAAAAAACAACACACATAAAACAAAAAAACACACAACACATGACACACACACAGCACATAACAACACACATAGCACACAAAAAACCACACAGCACATAACAACAGCCAGACTTTCATCAACAGATGTATGAGGAGTATTTTAAGAATTAAGTGGCAGGATAGAATAAGAAATGAAAAGCTGTGGGAAAGGACAGGACAAAAGGATATAGAAGTAGAAATAGGACTAAGAAAGTGGCGATGGATGGGGCACACCTTAAGAAAG